AATAATGATTTTCTTTTTAGAAAATAGGCGGTTGAGCATGGATTATTGTAATTGCAAAGGGAAGGCCGATTCTTATTTTTTATTTAAATAATTAAGTAAATTTATAGTAAATTATTAAGGAAAGCAAAATATATATCAATCACAAAAGATATAAAAGCACATGCCCCTCAAAGGATGGGCTGGGCGGGTCTGATCATAGATATAATTTCCGTCGCAATTGATCTACCAAAGAAAAATACTTAATATGGTAATATGAGGTTAGTTTCATTTTTAAAAAGGAAAAGTAAGCTTTTACCAACCAATGGAAAAGATTTGCCGAGGGAAATTTGATCAGGTGATAATCAGGTGGTGATGACAGAAATTTACTTTACGTTAAAAACTATTAAAGAGGTAATTAGTTTTTTCTTATTATCCTTATTTACCTACTTGCTATCTGCACGACGACGAATAATAATTATATTGTGTTAGAGTTGGTCGATAGCACATAAATTGGAAGACACGTCAGGTAAATGCGTCCCTTGATTAAAGAAGACAAAACTGAGCGTCAGTCATTACCCTATTTAGATTGACACGAGTAAATTCTAAACGACTTAAACGCCTAGCAACTTCTATCCTATTCTGTTTCATGGACAGCGTAAAACAGCAAAGCGTTTTTTTCACAATAATGTGTCAGTTACTCACAATTGTATTAAATGCTGACTTGATATTTCCAATGCCGCACCGATTAATCGAGCAAAACTGGTTTGTAAAGTACGTGAATGGGTTATGCGAGTTGGGTACTTTTCGGGGTATACTCAACGTCCATATTCAACCGCTTAATTTGAAATAAGTATTCGCCTTCAGTTCAAGCTGAGTCAATAACGAAGATTAGATGCAGTAGTATGGCTAGCGCTCGATAGGTCAATGTGTTTGACCGCAAGCGGCAGTCATTTGTATCTTAAACTGCCACCCTCATAATTGAGTATAACAGTTGATATGATACTTGCACTTATTATTATACAGATTATTTGCTAAAGTTACAATCGTAAATATAATACTATCATTGCAGCATTAATGCAACGGATGTGTTGTGCTTACATCTTAATAATTCTTTTAGGACAAGTCAGATAGCCTGGGATTTTGAGTAAACCCGATTTTAATGTTTAATATCAAATATCAATTTAGGTAAGGATACAATTCCATTAACGTATTTGATAAAGATAGTCACTCAGTCCAAAATTCAGTTGTATCAGTCCAAAATTGGGCAGGTTCCCGCTGAGGTAAAACATGTGCTGACAAATTTTCAACGCTTTTTGTCATTTCTGTCCCGATCAGGAACGTTTTGCGCGTTTTGATACTTATGACCGCTACAAAACAGCGAACGCAAAAACGAACGACTCGATGCTGTAACTATAACTTGCAGGAGGATAGTACTCGACAATAATAATCGAATTATATAAGTTCGTGTTTAATTTAGAAACTGGAAAGATGATTTATACACAAATATTGTTTCTTAGAACGTCAAATCAAATTCAAAATTGAACCAAGTTTATTATTAAACCTTCTTACCACCTCCATGTTCTCGTTAGCCTTGTAAACAATAATTCCCTCTTTCTTACCGACAAATTTATCGAACTTTGTATTTAATGATGAAAATAATATGTAATTCACCATAGTAATAGGTAATTTTAATCATTTCTAATTATCCATACAAATCCAGAGCCCATTAAAAGTAAAGAATATTTCCGCATTTCTAAGTTCGATGACCAAGTCAATAAGTACAAATTGCTCATCACAGATTTACAGGCGCAAAATCCTGTCTTAAATTAGAAAATGGAAAAGTGCTAAAATTTGAACGTTGTGTTTAAATCGAACAGATCAAATTTCAGTCAGTCGACCCTCTTTATAATAACACAGTCGGAAACAATGCAACTTTTGTTGAAAAAAAATGTGCTTATAAAGAGATTGTGACTGTATGAAGGGTTTTTTCTATAAGTTCCGCGCGGTAATTGGTTTCAAACATGGTGTGCTAATAAAAAGGTTTTTATATGATGCGACTGTATATGAGTATAGCGAGATGTATAAATTAGTAATACCACAGATGCAAACAAAGAGGCCAATAAAGTCAGTCAAAGTGTAACTGAACTCATCAAACGGTGCTTGCATGACCATTAAATAAGGGCCTGTCCGCTTTGTTGATAATTGACCTTTGGCTTACTTTTAATTGCAGTTAACAATTTGGCCAATGTTACCCGCACATATTGAATAAATATCGGTTTGTTTAAATTTCAAAGATATTCTTATAGAATTGACTCAAATTCGATTAAACCGCTAATTTGTTTGCGAGTTACTATAATAGAAAAGCATAAATGCGTTTAAAATATGATATATACTGTTCATAGGTAACAAAAATAACAAATGCGCGTGTGTTGGAATAAAGTTGAGACGTCACATAGTTGTAGTTTAAACTACTAAGAAATTTGATCACAAATAAACTTGCATAGGTTATCATTATTTCACATCTAATACACCTTTACGTTCGAGCCTTTTGGCAAAACACCCTTATTGTACTGAAACTGGTATTGTAATCGAAACTGTGCAGCTGCTCTGAAAGTTCTCTTACAAATTTTTGGAATTCTTCGGGTGACATTCCCCAATACTGTAACAACGACTGACTGGTGAGGGTAGCAGACTGAATCATATGATCAGCCCAAATTTCTCCATCTTTGCCTCCCCATGTACCCACTGCATGCCACACTTCCTGAAACGTGACATTCAAACTTTGTGGATGCGATTTCAATAGATTTTCCAATTCATAGGCCATATCAACCCAAACTCCATTCTCCTCAAGCAACACGCGGCCTAATAAAATAACAATTTAATAAGTAAAGGGTATGCGCTATGTCACGCACTTTCTCTTTTCAACGTTATTATAAGCATACCTGCATTCCATACTTTTTCCAGATTAGGTGCTGGATTGAGCAGAACTAGTCCACTTTCCATCATTTCAATCCACCCACCAGGATTAGTGACTCTCATTAGTTCATCTAGTAATTTGGTTCGCCAATCATCCTTTGTGAACGATTTGTTCAAAAATCTTAAATAAATAAGGCCAAAAAAATTGTCCTCGAACGGGAGACCCTCGAGTGCGTCAGCAAGTATAAATTCGGCATTCACTGGCTTAATTTGTGAGGGAAAGGTTGGTGAGATGTCGAGTCCATAGAATGTAGATTTGGAATAGGTAGTAGCCATATCAAGTATCCAGGTACCTAACGTAATAATAAATGGGCGACCGATCAGATGAGTCGATTAGGCGTTGTGGATGTTCGTTCCCGAATGTGTGCTCACCTGGGCCACAGCTACAAGCCCGTAAGTAGATAACGCTATATGTTAGAAATCTTTTTTTTTTTTTGCGGAGAATAACTTTATACGACAATCTAGCTTACCCAATATCCAAAACGTTTATACCTGATAGTAGTGCTTCGTGCACTGGAGCTGAGAAGTTTGCCTGTATATGCAACGTATTTATATCAGTAATGAGAATTAGTCCATTCGCGTAGGCAATGGTGTACACTGCTTACTGTTCCATTGTAATCAGTGACATTGTTTTCTCCCTCTCCCTCTTTTACTGACTTTCCAAGTATATTTAAAAATATAATGTAATATGTTGTAATTGTCCATTAAAACGTGGTCACTGGGATCGAGTACTTTCGAAAGCGTATCGTTGTTTATGAAGGTGGATGATGTAGTAGAAAATGTTGTGCTCGAATCGCTATCTAAACTGGGTTTAGTCTTTTTTTTCCTTGGTACGAACATTGTGCCAATGTGATTGCCCATCGTCGTTGAGATCAGATAAGATTTTTAACGGAATTGAGAGAGGATGGTGAACGCCCGAACTACAGCTTTATGGGGTGTTTATATACATTGTAAACGGTGCAAATAAAATAGTCATGTTATGTACGCACGTCAAATCTTACGGTGAATAATAATTGAAAACAACCAATGATTTAATGTGAATACACAGATGCATAATTTCCAAAACGATATGGGAACTTTCATTATCCGAATTATCCGTGCATCCAATCACAAAAAACTTGTCGATTAGTAAGAATAACCCCTGTTATATTCGTTACACAATGCATTTGTCATTGATTACCCAATATCAAGCATAAACACACATCGATGTTTGTCGTATTTCAATTGCCAAACTGCCAGATCCGTGCGTGACTGCTACACTAATCCCCACACATTCAAGAGAATTTAAACCGTTTTTTTTAGGTCAACCACCGACCTAGCCTCCAATAAGTGCTACCGAAATGAATTTCGACATTGATGATTATCTGTACAGTATTATGCCGAATTTGCTGCATATGCTTATAGATGGAAATTTGGTTTATAGTTTAGTCATTGACACATATTACGAACTTACAATTATATAATGTCTAATTTCAAGCTTGATCTTGCAATAAAGAGCAGAAAAAGTATAGCCTAAACAACTTATTCGGTTACTAATAAAACTTAGAATTGTACTTGCGATCGGAGACGCCTAATTTGATATAATAGTAAATGTTTGATTATGAGCAATAGAAGTTCCACTTCCTAATATGATTAGGCACAATCAATTCAAGATTAGATCAAGAGCCTTTAAGTTTTAGGTGTTTAAGCCGCTGCCTTTCCGCGTACGTTTTTAAAGTTAATGTTTCGCGACATCGACGTCCGATGTAAAAAGAACATAATGTAAAAGCCCTGAAGCTTTCTATTCAGGAAAAATAGCAATTTGAGTTAATCAACCTTATTAGTTTAGGTGAATACAAACGTCTCATCCAAACAATATACAGTCATCCCTCGTTTATAACCCCCACCCCTACTGTAACCCACCCCCGGATATATCCCAGCTTTGGGGCTGGTCGGATTTCCCCTATTATATCTCAGTATAAATGTCCCTCATTTGTATCCCAATCGATATATCCCTATCCCCGAAATTCACAGCGCCCGATTTCCCATATCCTATAGAAAT